TATATGTATATATGTATATATATATATATATATATACATACATTCCTGTCGTGCATTTTTTAGATTTGCACCATAAGGAATGTACACAGCAGCAACTGAAACAATTCTGTGAGCAGATGATATGGTTACCAAAGAAAACATGATGACATCTGATCACTGTACGTTTTTTGTCAAACCAGTGCCTGTCGGCCCACAAGAGCTACCGACTGGAACCGCGCTCTGAGCCCATGTGTGGGCTCTGATGAGCCTCCTCTCCCAGGACAGGCCATGGAGGAATGCAGCGCGTCCAGCAGCGAGCAGCCTCAGTACTACACACCGCTGTCCACCAAGCTGGAGGCTCAGCTCACGTCTCCGGGGCTGGACGCATACGTCAAACAGTGGTAGGTCATGGATGGAATTTCATTCTGTTTTGAATTCTGTTTGTACATTTTCTGTCAACTTGAGGCGAGTAACCCTTCTTATAGCACCCAACACCAGCCGGGACCAGAAGGCCCATTCAGGCCCGTCACGGTAATTAACGTCATCGACTTATCGAACGTTATATGGACACGACCTGGATAATTTTTACATTAATGACTTATCGTACAACAAGTGGACATGACCGTGATCATTTTTGCTGACCACCATATTGCTCGTTGTGTTTGTTTACATTAGAATGTCACTAATATTTAAGCAACATGGTGGCAGAATAAACGGCAGGGTTTCCCTCCCAGTGAAGACCTGGGCGCTGTGCACACGTTGAATTGCTATTTTCCACCCGCAGTTCCTGGGCAGGTAGGTTGAATAATACAATAGTCAGAAAAATTACAATTACAAAATAGAAATTACAAGAAGATAAGACATTAAAAGAGCCATAAGTGTTTTTTTGCACTTATTCCTACAAACAATATATCTTCTATCAGATGTTATGGTGACAGGCCAACGCCCATTTACAGATTGTGATTATTTAAGTGCTGGGGAAGATAATAACAATAAGATGGCTCAATAGAAAAGTTAACCATAAAAAGATCAGAACTGTCGAATACTGACAGTGACACTGAGTGAGAGAGGTTGTTATTGTTGTTGGGAATAACATAGCCTCAAAAAGGGGGCACCAATATGTTGGGAATGTAAAGGAGCGTGTTTGGGTTATCAGCATCTAAGAAACTAAATTCTTGACATCAATAGAATTATTAATGTCAGTAACAATTATTGATTATTGATAATAACGGGGCACCACCCTGCGAACAGGGACCAATAACCAAACAATAAAACTAAGTCTCATAATTAGTGTTCACTCACAATGTCAACAGTCTGAGTACTATTACACATTCAGAGTGAAAGTGAAGGTTTAAGTTCGAGGACAGACCACATATACAGCTATTATCCCAATACACATGCACAAAGTAATCACAGACAGCTGCTCTTTAAAATATAACAGAGTTTATTACGTTCTAATACTAATGATCTCGTCAACTAATATCTAAACTAACAACAACAAATATACATTCATGAGCACGCTATCTAAAATCAACAGACTATTGAAAAGAGGAGGGGGGAGTGTGTGTGTGTATGTGTGCGTAAGGGGGAGGGGCGAGGGAACAGCACAGCGACGTATGACGTAGTTGGGACGTGGTGACGTCTCTCATGCGCGAGACTCAAAATGGCGGATAGCCAACAGGAGACCCGGCGTCTAGTGCCGGTAGCCGTTTAGCACGTAAGTAGATTAGCGCAAAGCTATATGTGTGTGGATTAGTAAAAGAGAAGGGAAAGGAACAAAACAAAATGAAATAAAACAAAAGATTAAGATCCTCTGCGCCGCGCGGGAGTACGGAAGATTGCTCTCTCAGCCAGGGGAGCAAGAACCGCGACTCTTTGTCTCAGCCGGCGGTTTTGACCTCCTGAACTGATGAGAAGCAACTTCGACCTCACTGCGGCTGTCTCGACACGAATCACGGTAGAATAGAATACACGGTAACTTCTACAAAACACTAGCAATTTCAGGGATCGCCAGTGTCGGTGATCATAAAGCATATACCACGTTATCAAAATGAGCAGTACTTTAAGCACACAAACAAGATAAAATAAACACAAATGAACTCTCTCTAACTCTGCCCAGACTCTATTTCGCCTTACGGTACGATGCAATCGTGTTGATTGAGGGGGGGGTTCTTCTGAGCTTCGATGGGCACAGGCAGCGCAGCTGCGGGCCGCGGGAGGTGTTCTCTCGGTAGGAGAGAATCGCTGTCGTCTGGATAAGGGATTTTCGCGTCCTTATGGCCAGAGCAAACGAGGCGCTTGGTGGAGAGTGGAAGTTCTCTCTCTCTCTTTCTGAAGAAGTCTTGCTTCTTCACTTCTGCAGGAATGAAAGGGTTCGCTTCGTGGATACGAACAAAGATAAAATAGACAGTTTGGTGAATTCGGCCAGCGAATATAAACTGTTAGACCTAGGATTTGGTTGAAAAGGGAAACAACGTTGGTGTGCTCCCTAGCTCGGCGGAGGTCGAAGGGAAAAAGCATTGAGGTAGGGGTTGCAGGTAGTTTTGTAGAACAGTGGCTGAACCACAGGGGTCCTGGGGTGTCTTGGCTCTCGGCCAATTAGATTGCAGCGCTGCTTTCAGGTAACTTCAGGAACACAGTTTTTGGGGGGAGGAAACTCACACCCTAATGTGAATTTCTTCAGAGCTGGGGGTTTGGTACTCAAACTATAATCAGGATGAAACCTTTGCTTGCAAAAGGGAAGGCCTGACTCTCTTTGTTCCACAGCACATGTCGAAGCCGTATAGTCAGATCCCAACATTGTGCAACAGGCAAATAAATCAATTGAGCACGGAATTGATTTTTTGTGTGATAATAATCTCTCTAAAATATCACTCTTGTGCATGCAATAATAAAATCCCTTTCTGTGATGAGACCTTTACTTGTGCATCAGAATACAGGGAAACAGGTGCACTTTGTGATGGTTTTATAGTACAGTATCAGCATGCAGATGGTGTTTGAGTTCAGATACAATTTTACAATTCAACACATAATCTTGTTTCATGTATGAAACCAGTTTTATAAACTATCGATACATCCATCTCTCATGTGTAGCCTTTATTCATCTAAGTTTTATTTTACATTCTCTGACACAACCAAATGCCAGACATAATGAATGAGATCATTCTTGAAACCTAGTGTCATCCATGGTGACAGGGTCTTCTTTGAGCTCCTCTCTCTGTTCTTTAGCAGATGTTTGTGAAAAGGTCTTTAGAGGAAACCTTTCGGGGCTCCTCGTGAATATCTTTAGCCATAAATGACATATTCTCATGGTCAAACCAAACTAAAGCAACCAAATCGGAGTCTCTCACCCGGTTCCTCTTCTCCTCAGTGCCGGTCCGGAGACCCCCATGTGTCGTATCTGTCACGACAGCGGGGCCCAGGAGGACCTGCTGTCGCCCTGTGACTGTTCCGGGAGCTTGGCCCCCATCCACCGCAGCTGTCTGGAGCACTGGCTGTCTGCCTCAGGAACCAGCTTCTGTGAGCTCTGCCACTTCCAGTTCACTGTGCAGAGGAAGTCCAGGCCACTGCTCGAGGTACGAGGAGCCGCTCACACAGGAGCCGAGTTCAGTTTGCCGATTCTTTACAAACCTGACTGTGCTTTCATTCTCGTTGGGGGGTTAGTGGCTGCAGAACCCGGGTCTCCGTCAGGAAAAGCGCACCCTGTTTGGCGACATGGTGTGTTTCCTGCTCATCACCCCACTGGCCACCATCTCCGGCTGGCTCTGCCTTCGCGGCGCCATAGATCACCTTCACTTCTCCAGCCGGCTGGAGGCCGTGGGACTCATCACGCTGACCGTTGCCCTCTTTACCATTTACCTCTTCTGGACCCTGGTTAGTAGGCTGAGGCGTGTGTGTGTCATGCGGTGTTTATTACACATACGTTATATTTCCATAAGCCTGCACAGGTGTGTTTAGACAGTTTGACATCATCCAGTTTGATCTGAACCCCCAAAAAACACATCAGGACGAGGCACGTCAAGCTCAATGTCTCCTTGTGTGTGCCGGTCTAGGCTGCTGGACCACATGGTTGCATACACCGCCAGCAGGGCTAGGAAATACTTTATTCTGTGTACCTGTCACATGACATGCACCAACATGTTTTTAGTGCAGCATCTGGTGTACTTGTCCATCTTTCTCGGCGCTTCTGCCACAGCCCAAAGAACATAGACCGCTGCGTCATTTCTCTCCTTCCAAGCACACAATTACAGCCAGAGTCCACAGTTCACCGATCTAAAAGATGACGTCATACCGATGGAGAGCAGAACCGTGGCTGATGTGGGTTTCAATAAATTAAGCACTCAATATTTTTACTGGAATTTGATTAATAATAAGAGCATTTAAGGAACCGTTCATTATATTTTGAATGTTTCTAATAGGCAGTATTGTGCTGTACACAACATATTTCCTGTACCAATAGGTGACTTGCTTCTGTAATATTATGTCAATAAAAAAAAAAAAGGTTCACAGTTACATCGTTGTGTCGTCTGCAGGTGTCTCTCAGGTATCACTGTCGACTGTACAGTGAGTGGAGACGGTCCAATCAGAGAGTGGTCCTCCTCCCCCGGTCACACAGTGAAGCGTCCGCAGCGCCGCCCTCCTCTCAGGGCTCACAGCGAGGGAAGCAGCCGGCCACAGACTCGGTGGTCTGAGACGGGCTCTCATCAGGACACGGACGCTCTCTGCACTTTATAGCAGCGCTCTGAGATGCTCTGCCAGAGCCGACGTCACATGTGTGAATGGCCGCGAGTAAGAAGCACTCAATCCTCCAAACTCATGGGGAAACTCGTAAAGGACCTGTGCACAAAATAACAATAGGCTGCAGTGTTTTGGACAATCAAACGACAGGTGGTGAAACACTGAGTGCAACTTGCAGGAACAGCACCGTACCCATGATGAAGACGTCATGGCTCTCGTATTGCCATAAAGGAACATTTTTGGGAAATGGTCCGGTTTCCCATGTCGGTGAGAAGTGGAATATCAGTTTCCCAAAATGTCAGACCGTATAGGCAGCCACTGGAAACAAGAAGGGACGGAGTGGTGCTGTATTGCAGCAGCTACTAAAGATGGACGAGGAGTTTGATGTGAACTTAGTCACCGGTTCTAATCTGTGAGGCTACTGAAGGCTACTGAAGCTGCTCCACATTCATGCACAGTCGGTCTGATGGACGGTTTTGGCTCTTAGGATTGACACACTTAAACCAAAGGTTATTTTTTATTTGAAACGTTTAGTTGTTGGTCTGTTTCATGTGTGTGTGTGTGTGTGTGTGTGTGTGTGTGATGCAATAAAATACAGTGTACAGTTGAGCTGGTGTGGTCCATGTATGGTTATCTGACATGAATCTATAATCATTCATATATTAGCTCTCCACACAATAGATTTTCCAGTCCACAGTACATATTACAAAGCCTGGCATTTTATTGAGCAAATAGGTCTTCATGTAGAGTAATAATCTTAATTATATTCATATGAAATACTTTGAGACGCTTTACACAACGAGTTGAATAAAAGATTCAGGAGAAGGCGTCCTACATGAAGTGTATTTGATTTGATGAAATGTACGCAGGACAAAATCAATTTCAACTTCAACTAATAATTCTTAAAAAGGGGACCATGCAGCTTTGGAACTAAGAAATAACATTCTTCCTCCACAAAAGAAAAGATTAATTCATAAACATTAATACTCCATCGTCCAAGTCAGCAAACTCACCTCATGTGGTCTGGTGAGACCTTATTGAAGTTAATATTGCTGCAGGAATGACATCACTGAGTCAGTTTGTGGTGGTGCAATAATCTAAGGACATTTACTCAATGTATATTTACACCCCAAGTATACATTTGAGGTACTTATTTGACTGTGTATGCTACTTTATACCTCTACGCCACTCATTCTTGTCTTAATGTTAGTGATGGCATCTTTACTCTGGTCACCTGTAGTGTCTCACGTATAAAACACGTTTTGAATCAAACACCATGTACATACTCTTTTCTACATTAAGAACCAATTGACTTCCTCATTTAAGATCCTATCGGCTCTCCACCTGCCGACTTGTGTTCCTCTTTATGCATTACAATTCAAAAATAACAGCACTGTACTGGTAAAAGTGGAAAACTGGAGGTTGTAAATAGTTTCCCTGAAACACTCCACTCATTACTGATTCAAATAACAGAACTCGGACTACACTTAATGTTCTGGTTAAATAGACTTTACACAGCGTATTGCAGAGGGCAATGCGGACACGTGCTGACCTCTCGGCGCTGGTTGCTACACGTTACATTAAATACGAGGCTAATCTAAACTGCCTGATTTCAAGTTAATTATGGGGCAACATATTTATAGATATAGATGACAATTATATCATTAAAGACTTGTTTGTCGCAAAATGTTCTATTCAAATATGTAAAGATGTTGAGCAATGTGAAACTTTCCTGTTCGGCAGGCTATCAAGATAATTAATATCAGTTTATAATATTTTTGTTTAGTGCGATACCTGCGGCTCTTTCGCTCTGTCAATTACTATTTTGAAAACTGAATATAAAATATGGAGTGTAAACATGGATTTTAAATGAGTCACATGGAAGCTTCACATGAAATTGATCCCATAATTCACTGCAGCTCCATGTGGGCAGTGAGGAGCTATCTGTAACCGTTTATTTTTTCAGATTAGCTAAACCCGTGTGAGAAGCAAAAATAAACGGTTCACTTAGAACCCCATTCTTAAGGATCCTGTGCCGTGTTCTCCATAGAACGTTACATTGATGCATGAAACAAGAAACACAAGTACAAGAAAACTTGTTTAATCATTCAACGATGATTACAGCCATAGCATGCATAGTAACACACCAACACACAAAAAGTACTTCAAACACTTCAAATATCAAAAGTAAAGAATACAATCAACACTTCTCCATTAGTGGCGAGTCAGTGGAGTGAACACACAGCTGGGAGTAGAATATCAGTTGGTGTATAATTATCTTATACATTAAAGAAGAGAACGCAACAACTGCTAACAAACTCAAACCGCCTCTTCTGAATACAATCAAACAACCTTTTCTTTTTTCTAAAGATACCAGAAGAATGTCAAATAGTTTGTTCTCATTTTGTCTCGACACTGCTTATTCTGGCCACTTTTAAAATCACTATTTTTGTAAATATTAGTGTTTTAGTCAGCACCTGTCCTAATCGAGTCGCCAACATCCTGTGGCTTTTCTTGTAGCATCAATAACAACATACAAAATAAAACAACTAAATTAAAATCCATTAAAAAAACCAAACAAAAATAATCACACTTGTTTTCTTAAAAGACACAAGTCGGTCCTGGAGTTTAGCTACTTGTTGCACAGTTTAAAAACAATCTGAACTACAAATACAAACGGTTCATTCACCATGTTATTTAGCTTTTTCAGGTGAAAATACATCTACCAAAAGCAGTTTTGCATTTTTTAAATGAGAAATAAAACCATTTCTTTATTGGAATGCGCTACAAAAGATAGAAAAATAGTTCTAGTATTACAGTTGGCAGCAGACTGGCTGGGCTCAGAGGAGGTGGGTGGTTGGTGCAGTGCGATCACATGATGGAGCAGCCTCTCTTTGCAGTGCGAGGGTCCCCCTGCACACAAACAAACACAAACACTTGCATGTTTGGCTGACAACTTCAGTAAAACAGTAAAACAATCCCCATGGAAGGTTAGAAGGAGAGCCGACATGTTCCGAAAGGTCAGAAGATAAGCGGCAGCTTCTTGTCTGTGCATCGGAGCTACGTTCCTATTTCATCTTCTATTCTAGCTGTGTGGCACGGACGAGCCTTATATTAATATTTATAATCATATGCACATTTAGTAGTTGGACTTCATTCACATTTTTTTGTGCCCTCAAATGCACTGTTGTCAAAGTAGACGCTGCTGCGTGCGCTGCGTGTCATGTGACGAGGAACAATCAATCAAGAGCCGGTAGACATCTTTTCTTTCTTCCGTAAAAAAACGTTGACAGTAAATGAAGGGAGCACAAGTTAATGGTTTAGTTCAGGACTCTCCGGAGCTTTACGATCCATCTCAGAATATTTGATGTGCTTCAAGCTTTCACATCGACCCCGGCTGGTGTTCTCCACACATGTGAACGGCCCCTTTATCCGAGGAAACGTCCGAGCTGGCTGATATTCTCACCTGCTGGTGGAAGAGTTCTTCATCAGTGGCCTCCACTCCATCATCATCATCCTCCTCTTCTATTGTTGTCTTGTATGTTGTGGTTCTCTTTGCCACCTCCTGCGCCACACACACGCGCGCACGCGCACACGCACACGCACACACACACACACACACACACACACACACACACACAATCCAACAGTACTTGGTTACACAGAACAGAAGTGAGGATGATGGTGACCATCACTCTGGCCAAGAGACTGTAAAGAAAAGCAACTAGCGTGTAAAGACTGAACACACGGGGTTGATGAGAGTTCATAGATGGAGATAGTGGATCGATCAGTGTGTGTGTGTGGTCTCACCTCTCCCTGAGTGTTGATCAGCACCACTTGGACGTCCACCCCTGAACCCCAGGAGGACTGGTTCTTCCACACCAGATCTGTAGGAGGTTTGGAGCTCACACCAGCATCAGACGCCCAGACCTGAGCAAAGCAGCCACAAAGTCCTCCTCATATTCAACACAGTATTCACACACACGCGTATAATTGGCAAGGATACAGCCCCACTGTTTAACACCGCACACACCTTTGAGACACAACCAGACCCAAAGACTGAACAGGAAGCTACTGGAGACTAGGGCGGCACCACATTGGTGAAGACAACATCACTCCTCAACAGAAAAGATGAGACGTGAACTGAAGACCAACTCTTACCGTGACTTTCTGGCCCGCCTTCAGGACATACTTGGGTGTGAACTTGTAGGTGGCTGTGGCATTTCCAATAGTCTTAATCATCTCATAACTGCCCATTGCCTCGTCCTGAGACAGACATTGACAAAATGAAGAAGTCAGTTAGTTCTGCCGGATCTCTCAATAGGAGATGTTCAGCTGTAGCTCCACTAGGGGCATCCCCCACTAACATTATACAGAGTCTCATCTGATTGTCTGGTCGTTCATAAATTCTAAATATACGTAGTACTCTGGTAGTGTAAGGAACATGCACCATCTAAGAAGCTCACCTCATCTCCATTGTTGTGGAGGCAGATGAACTTGCCGTCGGTGTCAATCTCGTCAATGCAGACGGGTCCCGTGGCCGCGGCGGAGTGCGTGATGGCCACCGAGCTGCTGGCTTCCTGTTCCTCCACGTCGATGCGCTTCCTCTTCCCCATGGTGGTCTGCACGCTGCGGCTGCTGGACGAGGCTCGAGACACCGTGACGCGAGCTGAAGGACTGGGAGACAGCTTCAGCCTTGGGTGGGGGGGGACACGACAGTTAGGCTCAGCGGGTGTCACAAATGGAAACGGCGCCATTGCTTCTCGCAAACTTTCTGGTCACTCACCTTTCTTCTTCTCCCTCCAGAAGTTTGCGGTAGGCGTTGATCTCCATGTCCAGCGCCAGTTTGACGTCCAGCAGCTGCTCGTAGTCGTTCAGCTGCTGCTGCATCTTGGCCTGGATCTCGGCCAGGTCACTGTCTTTGTCTGCCAGCAGCTTGCGGCTCCGGTCTTTCTCCTGAGACAACGCCGCCTCCAGCTCCACGATACGATCGCGCCAACCACGGGTCTGAATATAGACACAGGGAGGTCAGAGTCTGAGGTGTCAGAGCGAGCAATGGTCGGATGAAAATGAAGACCATGCATGGCTCAAAAATACTGTTTTCTGTTTACATGCAACCTTAAAAATGACATGTGCTAAAAAACCTAATTGTACCTGCTCTAAAAAAATGTTTATTACACCATTTGGCTTATTATTCATTCTCTCTCTTTCTTTGCACTTCCACCACGACCAGACCAAAATAAATCCAACCTGGACCGCTACATTTAGCAAACCTCTGAAGGACAACATGTATTCATTTCATGTCTGAGAGATTCAAAATGTGTCAATGCGTGAGAACAGTTACATGCATGTAGAGCTGAGAATTACGTGCACAGCACAAATTTTACATGCACTGCTGTGCAATGCACGTGGTATTTTAATCCCTCCAATGTGAAAGCATCCCTTTAAAACATACTACGGGTGATGCGATCGTTTCATCTGTAACTTGTCATTTAGGCTAAATTGTCCATGTCTGCAAACAATGTGTACAGGAAGTTGGATGGAAGTTGATGAATGATGGACCAAACATTGTAAAAAAGGGACAGTTCTAAAGCCCAGTAGAGACTGTTTTCACTGTGGGTTCAGAACAGTGCTTAGTCAGCACTAAAGAGGTCTGGGAGGCACAGTTTAACCTCACATTGTGATGTCACACAACATCATGGCGAGAACATTTAATCCAACTGCAGCCACAACCTCACGAGGAGATTATGATGAACTAAACAGAGCGGCCGAGTCACCGCTCTGGAAAACAAACTTGGTTTATCCGCATGAGGTAAGATGTGACACTTTGAGATATAAGTGGCTGCCTTCTATCAAAGACCACCGCTTTGGACACAAGTTCTAATTTTAAAAGAATTAGAAGAGTAAAACCAAATGCCGACCTCCTTCTGCATTCCTGCCAGCTGGGCAGTGAGGCTGTCGATCCTCAGGCTGGACTCTCTGAGTTCCTCTCGGGACATGCTGGCCGACGCTCCGTTCATCTCAGACACCCGGTGCAGGTCCTCCAGCTGGAGACAGACACAGCGGGGGGTTTGAGAAACGACATCAACACAGTTTCCTTCTCATCGCACCCTAAAGAGGAACTGAGCAGTGTCAGTCACTTCCTGACACACAGGAAGTTAAGTTAGCACTGTGTTGCTTGGTATGTTGACATTCTACTTATAGGTTCACTAGATTGAAGAAAAAAAAACAAAAAAAAAAAACACAATTACTTGCATATTGTGTAGGAGGATTTAAACAGGTCGGTCAACTAACTACAGAAAGCGTGCGAGTGGATTTTGACATTTATATCATTTATTATTATGCATCAGTATTACAAGCAGTTGGACCAGCTGTGTTTTTCTGGTTTGATTGCTGCCAAATCAATTCCACTTCATCTGATCCTAAAGTTTCTTTTGGCCTATTCATCTTTTACCAAATCACATAAAAGGCCCAGTGGATGTGGATTACAGATGCTTGTCGTGTAAAACTGTGAGCAGAAGACTCAGGTAAAATCTGCACTTGGGTTAAAAGTGCTGCAAAAAAACTGAAGAGAAACCAAAGAGTTTTTTCGAAAAATTTGAAGTTGTAAGAAGATAGCTTTGTCCAAATATGTTTGTGTGAGTTTGGTCTAGGCCCTATTACTCCAGCATACAATGAGATTCCAAACAACAGTGTTCCGACAACTTTGTAGCAACAGTTTGTGCTCGTCTCTGTCCTGTTTCAATATGACAACGTCCTCACCCACAAAGCCAGGTCTATAAAAACAATGGTTGAACTGGACTGAACCCTGTCCAGAACTGGAACACTGGTAAGGCTGAGCTCAAATTCTAAGATGGTTCAAATCCTAACGATACTCATCCCAAGGCACGATACAGACAGACAGACACACACACGTCGTCAGTGTGGCACCGAGGGGAAACGTCCTTAAATACATTTAGGAGAACTATAAGATCTGTTGAGTGAGACGGTCCTGTAACTTGGTGCAGTTTTGGAAAAGATGTATGGTATTTGTCAGTTATATTATGAACATACATTAAAATTTTTCATGAAAGAGGTTAGAAAAATAGTTTGTCTATGCTGTCACTTACACTTCTTCAGAAGATAGAAATTGGAATCGGTGCCCCTCTACAACAATTCTCCAAAATCTGATGGAAAGTCCTCCCAAAAACCCTGCCCATGGTGTGAGAAGCCCACGTTCAGCTGTCACATATCGGCGTGTTGTTTGGACTGTACACATACTGTCATATTGTGTAGTTTTACACCATGGCCACGGAAATAGCTTATCTCCGATTGGTCGGCTGCTGTTTGATTAAGTCTTATTGAGACACCTCAGACACAGTTTATATTGTGATATTTAGAAATTCACTTCAAGAGCCACATATTCCTCCTCCTGTCACAGCTGGTACACACTCTTTCACCTGGACTGCATTATTATGAGAGTGTGAGTTCATACTTTGGTGACGTAGGTGCTCTCCATGTTGTCCTTGTAGAGCCTGATCTGCTCCTCGTTCTGAGTCCTCATGTCAGTCAAGGCCTGAGTCAGTTTATATTCATACTCCACTTTCCGGCCAGAGTCCACCTCCACCAGCTGGGTGGTGTACCGCTGCTGGGCCTCCTTCACTTCCTGTAACACAGTCAGCACACAGTCATTCAGACAGTCCTCTCAAGTCTGATCCGGCCCTAATCAACACGGGTGGGAAAGTGATTCATCAAATTAATATCATGTGATCCAAACATTTCCAATAACTCTTGAGTTGTAAAGTCCAATATGTATTGAAAAAGATGTAATTTCCCAAATTAATGTTTTTATTTAACAAAATAGTCTGCTTCAATCCATATTTGTGGGCATTTACACTTTCAAAAACAACATTTTCACTCTGGTCAAAAAAAGAAAGAAAAGGGTTTGCTCTCCCCGCATGCAGAATAGAGAATGATCAAAGTAGTGCTCACCATTCAGCACGATTGAGACCGTACTTTTCAGACGACTGATAACTCTGTCAGACATGCAAGCGTTCTGCATCAGTACCATTACACTAGGCCATACCCTCGGTGACACAGTCTTGTTTACTTCAGAAGAATTCTCACCTCCTCTTGCATGCTCTTACGGAAGATCATTTCCTCTGTCAGACTCTGGCAGCGGTTTTCCAAGTCAACTCGCATCAGCATCTCATCTGCAAGGTGCTTCTTGGCCTGAGCCAGACCTGAATCCAGCTGACAACGCACAAAACAACAGGTCACGCTTTGAAAACAACTCTCGATGAACAGAAAAGGGTTATTAAGTTTAGCGAGTATGGAACAGCTCTCAAGAGAAAACGAGAGAAGCAATCATAAATAACATTTTGTTGAAGTAAAACACAGAATCAAAAACATACTTTTGTTTTTAATAAGCACAATTGATCCCTCTGCATCACTCCTAAGTAACAAACACAAATAAGGGAATCTTTCCAGACATCGTATTCACCTCCTGCAGCTGTTCTCTCAGGTCGGCCAGCATGGCCTCCAGGCCTCTGTTCTCAGACAGCGCCGTAGCCAGCATGGCGTCTTTAGAGTTCAGCTGAGCATCCAGGTCCTTCAGCCTGGCCTGAGCTCCTGCTGCCTCAGAGTCCTTCTTGTTGTAGCTGGAAGGAGGGTGACAAGACATGGTGAGAGCATTAGAGCCGTCTCAATAACCGCTACATTGCAACACCGCTTTTGACAAGCCAAGCACAGGGGGTGGCGAGCCACCTCCACAAACTCTTTGTTCCCGTTTTTTTTCTTATTTGAATTCTTTGCACTTTATCACCGTCTTTTGTACAATATGGCCTCCAGCAGCGTTGAGTCGGTGTTTGCTCTCAGCGGGGAGCAACGAAGAGAAGCTCTGCTCACTGAAGATGCACAATTAAAAATGTAACAATTATATTAATTTGTTCCACTGCAAGCCTCAACTTCACACTTCCCAGAAGGCATCAGGCACACATGAGTAGATGGGATGATGGACACAGTATGCTTATGGATGACAGACTTATTTTGCTGAAGAGGCGGGCTGAGTCAGTCCTCTAGTGTTGCCCCGTCAGCGGACCACATACTAAAGCTTTGCCCTTTAGCTTACGTTCCCTTTTTCTGCACCATTATTGAACCCTGTGTGCTTCATTGACCAATGTGCTTTACTCTGTTTATACGCTATGGCGGCCCATGCAGCACAACATATATTCATTAGCCAGTCTGGCTAAAACTAAAAGGTAGAGGCATAATTGGTGCAGAGTGTGCAGCCCCAAAATAAATCTAGATGCTGAGCTGTTTTTTATATTTTGTTCACTCAATCAGTGAGAGTAGAACAGTGGTGTCCCCTGCCCTTCAGGAACTTCACATGAGTAAACAGCGTCCTCTGGTGGCCACAACGGCTCACAAGTGGAAGAATGAAAGAAAAGATTCTTATTTCTTATAGTTTGCGCTGCAAAAATATTTTACTTTAGCCTAATTATCAGATTTTGCCTGTTTTGATTATTTAAAATAAATGTACTTTGTCGTGAATTCTATAAGGAAAAAATAAAAGTGAGATATATATATATAGAGATAGATAGATATATTTTATATCTGGAATATAGATGAAAGCCACATATTTCACTCAAAAAAAAACATGCTGGACATCTGTTTCCCAGCTTAGAGGCGGGGTTAATAAGTCAACAGTGGATCAGTGTCATTGGGTTTGTGAGTTAAGCCGTCTCTCTGCTGGGACAGAGGCCGGGGTTTTGCTCATGGTGTGCCTGAGGGTTAGGGTGGGCGGGTGGGGCTGAAGTGGACAAACTATGAGTGGAATGCAGAGCGGTATGCTTGCATTTCACGATTTACTGAGAAACATTAGCGGGGAGGCAAAACCACTGACCGACAGGCTCTCACTTCACAGGAACACTCAGTAGAACCACACCAGTACACAACAAATACCACAGATACTTTAAGAGAAGACAATATGTTACCATTATTATGTTAAGACAGTTAAAGGGAGGCCTAACGTGTTAAATCAATGATTAGACACAATAAGCACACAGAAGAAGGCCTTTGACAGACGAGTCTGTAGTCACTGCATCATAGATACCAGGGATCTTCTAATTAGCTCAATTATAATTCAGCATTGTTGGGATTATTGGAATAGCTTTTTTAATTTTCCTTCTTTTTGACAATTAAATAAATGAATTGAAAAATGTGCTACTTTTGCTCTGATGCAGCAGAGTCTCTGACTGTAGTCACCACTCTGTTCTCTCTCAACCCCCCCCCACCCACAGGCGGTGACAGCCACCTGTGATCGACTGTCAGGGGGCCTCCCCCCCCCCCCCCCAAACACACACGCACACAGTTGTGTGTAATACATGTGTATCTAGGATATTTGGATATCAACACGATATCATATACACATTTCCTCACAACACGGTCATTCCATGTGGCACTACAATCAGAGCAAATAAACAATTCATCCCAAAATATTCTTGCATTTTCCCCTCATAAAATACCAAAAGTACTTTTATTCTCCGCCAGTGTTTATTTCTGCTGTGCCTAACAAGATACTACTAGGAGACCCTGAAGGCATCATGTCACCTTCAATGAACGCTTACTCTTGCTTTATCTGCCAAATCTATCTGTCTAACCAACGGGTACATTTCCCCAAATAAACTGTTTGTTCAGGTTAGTAACGTTAAACGCATTTGGTCATGTGTACACTTAACAAAATAAGTGATAAAAGTTACATTTTAAAATCCGGGTTGACATGTATTCTCTTTCAGTAACAGACAATGGTGGGCAGGTGAAGTCATTCATTTTTTAATATTTATTATTATTAACTAATTTCAGTGATTGTAATGCTATCAAATCATCAAATAATGGCTTCATACTAGCTGCAAAACGAACTAAGAGATAACCCTAAATATATATATTTTTATAAGCAGAGTTTGAGTCTCGCGCTCACCGGACGATAACACGTAACGTTAGCCCCCACTACACGGGTTTACGTGCGTACGTTAATGTTGCAAAAGTGGCTCGAAAATCAAAGTGAGCAGCACAAAAACGTTAGCCTTTAGCCAATGATTCAAAGGTCCTGACCGTATTAGACCGTTCAACACGATTAAAGGGTTAACGGCTTACTTGTGTTGAAGCTGTTCATGGTCGGATTTTATCTTTCCCAGCTCAATCTGCAGCCAGGCCCGCTCCTTGGAGGACTCATCCAAACACCTTCTGGCGTCGGCTAGCTCGGTCTCGTACAGGGATTTCAGTCCGGTTACCTCCCGGCTTCTCACGTCTTCCTTCTCGTTAATTTGCAGGTGGAGTACATCGTTTTCAGACTCCAAACTACGGACTTTGTCAATGTAAACGACCAGGCGGTCGTTGAGGTCCCGGAGCTGTTGTTTCTCCTGCAGTCGGGTTATCCTGTTCGGGCTCAGCGGAGTGCCGCTGCCGCACGTGCTTCTCTGCCCGGTCGGAGTTCCAGCCGCCGTCGCCATTGTAGAAGACTAAATAACCCGAATCAAAGGCGGTAACCAAACCAAAGCGAGATACGGATCGTGCGGGGTCAACAATTTTGATTGAGGCAATCAACAACAACCGGCACGCCTGAAAAACTATCCTGGAAGTATGTCCTGTCTTTTCTTATCCGAATGAAAGAGGGGTTTGGCTTCCTAATATGGCGGCTCATTGGATATTTCACGTTATGTACCACTAGCCAATGGCGAAGCTCGATGCAATGCGTTCTCTCAGTTTTAACTTTTGTGTTCACTTGGAATTGTGACCAACATGTGCCGAAACAGTCCGGAGTAGGCGGAGTCGACTAGGCGTTCAAAGCCTTGGGTTTAGCGGCTGACCATCATGGGCTGACCTGGTTTGTTGAATCCGAGTGTCCCGGCGTCGATAACAAGCGCTGCCTGACTCCTCTGATAACGGCTGCGTTTGAAATCATTTTATTGAATCAATTCTCCCCGTAATGGCTCGTGCACTATCGAAGGATGACAAGAAAACGATAAAGACAATAGCACAGTGAAAATATAGTAATTCAATTTACAGATAGGATCCTACTAAGTAGTTTGTACCGTTGTCCTGTGACATGCGCAGACTCTCTTAAAGCCTAACTGCAGTGCTGAAAACAAACAAACTATCCTGCATAGAGAAAAACTGAACAAAAGATGAAACTGAAATATGAAACCTCTTTGTTTTGAAGGCATCGAGATGGAGTTTCTGACATTTGGTTGAATTAAGAGGGAAATTCCTCATACACGAAAATAAATGGGCTGACTGACATTTTTATTAAGGTCATGACACCCACAATATATATGTTAGAAACAGGAAAGTTGTGGAAAATGTACGTATTTGGCTAAATAACATAAATGCACAAAGTGTTTTTTATTCTAATAAAATGTTACTTAAATTATGTATTCTTTAAATCTGTGTATTTTTGTTAATACTATCTGGCTGTACCGCTGCCATGATCCTTTGTTAACATAAGCTTGTGCGATAGATTTCTATGTATTTGTGTGCTAAGTTATAACAATTTCTCATCTGGAATTTTTAGCAGTAAAAGTGTGTTTACACATTCATTCATAGCATCTTAATGCGTTCCCTGTACTCACATCCACATTGTATTACTGCTCTTAATTCCCTTCAATGCAGCATTTCTCTTTTTAAACACCGCTCATTCATTTCTGATTATAATTAAAAAATGATTTGACAATATAATGTTAAAGACCTTGGTAGATAAGAAAAGAGTTTGACAGCTATTCAGTTGTGAGTGTTATCGTTCATCACTTTGGTGAATCACGTTAAAGTATTCTACCAAACGTGATCAGGCTGCAGATCCATCTCTCCTCAGGTCAACCCAGCATGTCCACATGCAAGTAATAATAATGAATAAATAAATGTCATGTGTCAGGGATCCACATCAGCACAGTCCAAAACCTGAGGCCACGTGACACAGAGCCATTGAAGAGGTCACATATGACAGCAGTGTAAGCATGGGTCAGCCCTTACATTTCATGGGAGTTGGCCCAGCCGTGCAAGCCAATGGTGTGGAAGCATCAGTCAACACTGGAGTGATAACACAGCACAATTCAACTTATTAATGTGCTTTTAATGTGTTCACATGCCAGAGGATTGCCTATTTAGATTCTTTATTAATGTAAAAATGTTAAGATCTTCTATGATAACATGCACGAGAAGCTAGACGTGTTCTTGTCTAAGATGTCTTGTAATTCATTAATACATTACTTTGTCATGTGACTCCACCTCTCTCACCACCACTGAGTGGCTAAAAGACACACTCTAGCTGTGATACTGTCACAAAGACAAACTATTAAATCGGTCCATAGCACACACATATTCTATATTATCTCTATTCAAACTGGTCCGGACTGTTATAGGCAGGATGAAAAGCTTATGAAATAATAATGATATTCGGCATCTGATGAAAGCTTTCTTTTCTTTTGTCCATGCTTGCAGCCCTGCCGGAGTGAGGAGACTAGTGGGAAAATAATCCCATCAAGGACGAAGAGTGTCTTCAGTTCTCTCACAGACGACATCACTGATGTAGTTCTGCAGTTAAATGTTTATCTCCATCTCCATGAGTCGATTGACGACCATCATCAGTGCCCCCCCTTCTCCCTACATGTTTTCTCATCAATGTCATCATTTATGTAGGTATATAATTCTGCTGCTTATACAGTCCAGCAGCGCCCAAGCATGATTCAAAATTGACAAAACATTGGATTGTTGCTCTGATTTCGTTCCTATTACAGGAGGATTGTAACCCTGTTTGCAGCCATGGATCAACATTTAGGAAGACTCAGCTGATGGTCTGATTATTTACGTGATTTTTTTCAGAAAGTTTTTCCTCTTGTCCTGTGCACCACAAAAGAAATAAATCTCTCCTATCATTATGAGTGTTGGGAAGTATCTGATGATACGTATCATGATACAGGGGTTACAGTATATTGTGATATATTGTATTGTGATTGTGTATACTGTAAGCGAGACGTTCTGATTTTTAAAATCTAAATACTAGGAAATCTGTCTATTTAAACAGGAGCTGCAATTGGGTGCTTTTAACTGGGGACCCCCAGGACCCCAATATTTGTATTTTCAAGAAGCACTAATTTAAACAGAAAACAATTTATAGGAAGTCATTAGTAACAATGTTATTGCCAAAGTCATGAAAAAGTGGAATAACAGAATACAGCAGCTGTGAGGTATGACAGAAAGGATTCCTCAGTTGATGAGGGTTTAAGGGTCTGTTCATCCAAATGGTTACTCACTGACCTCTTGTGGTATCTATCCATGCAGATGGTTCTGGTTGTATTTACCCAGGTGTTTTCAGATTTCTGCCTCCACCTTTGTGGAGGTTTGTGGTGCTCACAGAATTTAGTACAATGTGGTTCTTATGACATGAATGGATGAATGAATGTTGTTTCTTCGTGCTATGTTGACAGAATGGAAAACATGTTAAAGTATGCCCGATGGTGTACCGCAAGCTCAGACTAGAGTCATCTAGAGTAAAGAGTTTGAGCACAGAAAACCCTAAAGGGGAAGTACTTTGAGAATACATAAAGCGCTGAGAAAGACAATAGAGCTCGTTCCTAACTATTGATTTGTAATTCATGACAAAAAGAGTCCAAATCAAATTGATTGATGACATTTACACCCCATTTAGAAAGAGATATCTGTAGGTATTCCTTCTCTCCATGGTGTGATTTCACTGTGAGATATGGAGGACACAATCCACAGTCCCTGTTCACTGTACAAATACATTCTAAAGACCAGTTAAAGCTGATATGGATGGAAAAAATAAGTTGGTATCTTCCACAGTTAGTCTATCTTTCCATGGGAACAGAAACTCCTTAGGAGCTCCTTACTAAAAATACTATTTGTTAACATGTAGCAGAGAACTTTTGATGGCCTTACAGATTTAATCTGCTATGGTCCTTGAATACGTTTTCAGCATATATTTTGTGAAATGTAAAAAGATGAATATCACTTCTGGACAAGTACCTCACCTCCATTACAACAACAACTACAACCTTATTGATTCTAGGCATATAAGCTCCTCCTCATCATCCAATTGTTCCATAATTCTTTCTTCCAGCCATGGAGATGGGATGGGCAAAAGAGTTGGAGGGTGAGGAGGAGCTCCTGTACATGAAATAGATAATATTGGTGTTATAACTATGTGAGATACTTGTCCAAAAAACCTACTAATCTAAACTAAAAGCTGCATTCTCTCTAATGTCCATCAGGGGGCGACTCCTCTGGTTGTATAGAAGTCTATGAGAGAATGACTCTACTTCTCTTGATTTATTACCTCAGTAAACATTGTAAACATGAGTTTATGGTCTCAATCTATAGTTTCAAGTCTTCTTCAATACAGCATGATGTTCATTTAGTAAATGATGCTCCATTTAGAGTCACATAGACCACGGTGGACTCAGTAAAGAGGACCTGCTCCTTATGAAGGGCTCATTCTAAGCGATTCTGTGTCTCAGGTGATTATACATTATGGTAAACATAGTTATGAATATTATGTTTCATTTCTGCTGATCGATCCCCCAAAATGCTACACACCGGCCCTTCAAGGAATTTAGTCAACATTTAGTGTTTGAAACTAGGATGTGTGATGTACATACAGCGCAAAGAAATTAGAAATATGCTCAATCCATATTCTGGTTTATCTTTTAAAAAGCGATCTGCGGGCTGCAGTTGGCCCACGGGCCGTAGTTTGGCCACCTCGACTCTTTGTTTACATTTTCAACTGTAGAATGCCCCCTTCCAAGTTACTAAAAACCCAAAATTCTCTCTTTACATTAACCTGCCTCGAAAGTTCACGTGGAACATGAATGTAGCATTGATACCAAGCAGCATGAAAAGGGATTCATTTTATTTGTGTAAAAGGCACATTTAGGGGAAACATACACAGAATGTTCTTTCACCTCAAACTTCATAAACAGCGTTTAGCTGCTGTGTGAGTGACATCTGTTTCTGACAGTGTGCTAACTGCCCAAAGGAGCAGGAAATAAATGAATGTATCCTTCTTATCCAATCACAGTTTACTATTATCATCCTGCTACAATTACTCAGGGGTCAAAATGTGTTGTTACTAAACTAATGCATAGATACAATGGGAATGATGTGCAAATATTTTGAAATAAACCAAGAATGAATCAATGAATGCTCAAAACTAATACATTATATATAAAACGTATTATATAGCCCATCAGACCATTCTAGCGGTGTCCCAGTTGCACACTATATACTGATTCTAAATGAATTTAGTGGATTGACATTGGAAATGACTGAAGTAAGCATAAAGAAAGAGCAGCATGCAGACTTCAGTGAGGAGCTGAAGGCAATGCTGTGTTACGAAGAGAGCAAAGCACTGATGACGAGGCGTTTGCATCCAACAAAAAGATGCTACTTCTATTCCCACCCATAGTTTTCAGTAGACTGGATCAAAAGCTTCAAAACAATAAACCACTTTCAGCACAAGTGCTTCATATCGAGTCAGTGTTTAAAAAGCCTCTACTGAAAACAGTCCCAGGCCCCCATAATCTAGATCTAGTTTCAATATATTTATTATTTCATTATTTGCATATTAACAAATTAATTTGCGTTTAATCAAATTACCACACAGCAAATTATTACATGAATTTGGCAAAGGCAATAAGCGTAGGAATAGGTCAACAGGGCTGCTCATTTCAGGCCCAGGGCCCTCTAGAAGTTAAGGTGGCCATGGCTGAGAGAAGTTATTTACAGCAAGAAATAAAAACCTAAGATCCTTAGACTAACATCTGTACCAGCCATTTAAAGGGGACACATCACACTCATTTTCAGGTTCATACTTGTATTTTGGGTTTCTACACGAACATGTTTACATTCTTTAATGAACTTTTTGTTTTTTCATACCGTCTGTCTGAATACACCTGTATTCAGTCTGAAACGCTCAGTCTGCTCCGATTGGCTTGAGAGACAGAGACAAAAAAAAAAAAAAAAAAAAAAAGTGCTCCTTTGCAAAGGCTGCCCACAAAAAGTGACCAGGTTGTTAGTTCAGTTTGTGGGTTGGTTGCCACTCCAGATACCCAAATGTGTGTTTACAAGCACTGAGAACATTTTTCATAATATGCACCCTTTACGGTTTTGAAACGTAAAATTGGCAGTAGTGTCAGGATATCAGCAAATACCTTGCATCATTTCCTGTACATAGTTTCATGAACACAAACTATGTGCACAAACTGGGGGGGGGGGGGGG